ACAATCAGATCAGACATAGACACAGAGGCGGGAAAGCGGAAGATCAGAGTTAAGAGAGAGAGGGGAGACAGACAATCAGACCTGACATAGACACAGGCGGGAAAGTAGAAGATCAGATCTAACAGAGATGGAGGCGGGAGACAGACAATTAGATCAGACATAGACAGAGGCGGGAAAGCGGAAGATCAGAGTTAAGAGAGATAGAGGGGGAGACAGACAATCAGACCTGACATAGACACAGGCGGGAAAGTAGAAGATCAGATCTAACAGAGATGGAGGCGGGAGACAGACAATCAGATCAGACATAGACAGAGGCGGGAAAGCGGAAGATCAGAGTTAAGAGAGATAGAGGGGGAGACAGACAATCAGACCTGACATAGACACAGGCGGGAAAGCGGAAGATCAGATCTAACAGAGATGCAGGCGGGAGACAGACAATTAGATCTGACATAGACAGAGGCCGGAAAGCAGAAGATCAGATCTAACAGAGATGCAGGCGGGAGACAGACAATTAGATCTGACATAGACAGAGGCGGGAAAGTAGAAGATAAGAGTTAAGAGAGATGGAGGCGGGAGACAGACAATCAGATCTGATATAGACAGCGGCGGGAAAGCAGAAGATCAGATCTAACAGAGATGGAGGCGGGAGACAGACAATCAGATCAGACATAGACGGAGGCGGGAAAGTAGAAGATAAGAGTTAAGAGAGATGGAGGCGGGAGACAGACAATCAGATCTGATATAGACAGCGGCGGGAAAGTAGAAGATAAGAGTTAAGAGAGATGGAGGCGGGAGACAGACAATCAGATCTGATATAGACAGCGGCGGGAAAGCGGAAGATCAGATCTAACAGAGATGGAGGCGGGAGACAGACAATTAGATCTGACATAGACAGAGGCGGGAAAGTAGAAGATAAGAGTTAAGAGAGATGGAGGCGGGAGACAGACAATCAGATCTGATATAGACAGCGGCGGGAAAGTAGAAGATAAGAGTTAAGAGAGATGGAGGCGGGAGACAGACAATCAGATCTGATATAGACAGCGGCGGGAAAGCGGAAGATCAGATCTAACAGAGATGCAGGCAGGAGACAGACAATTAGATCTGACACAGACAGAGGCGGGAAAGCAGAAGATCAGATCTAACAGAGATGGAGGCGGGAGACAGACAATCAGATCAGACATAGACAGAGGCGGAAAACCTGAAGATCAGATTAAGCAGAGATGGAGGCGGGAGACTGACAATCAGATCTGACATAGGCACAGGCGGAAAACCTGAAGATCAGATTTAACAGAGATGCAGGCGGGAGACAGACAATCAGATCTGACATAGACACAGGCGGAAAACCTGAAGATCAGATTAAGCAGAGATGGAGGCGGGAGACAGACAATCAGATCTGACATAGGCACAGGCGGAAAACCTGAAGATCAGATTTAACAGAGATGCAGGCGGGAGACAGACAATCAGATCTGACATAGACACAGGCGGGAAAGCGGAAGATCAGATCTAACAGAGATGCAGGCGGGAGACAGACAATCAGATCTGACATAGACAGAGGCGGAAAACCTGAAGATCAGATTTAACAGAGATGGAGGCGGGAGACAGACAATCAGATCTGACATAGACAGAGGCGGGAAAGTAGAAGATCAGATCTAACAGAGATGCAGGCGGGAGACAGACAATTAGATCTGATATAGACAGAGGCGGGAAAGCAGAAGATAAGATCTAACAGAGATGGAGGCGGGAGACACACAATTAGATCTGACATAGACAGAGGCGGGAAAGCAGAAGATCAGATGTAACAGAGATGGAGGCGGGAGACAGACAATCAGATCTGATATAGACAGAGGCGGGAAAGCAGAAGATCAGATGTAACAGAGTTCGAGGTGGGAGACAGACAATCAGATCTGACATAGACAGAGGCGGGAAAGCAGAAGATCAGATCTAACAGAGATGCAGGCGGGAAGACAGACAATCAGATCTGACATAGACAGAGGCGGGAAAGCAGAAGATAAGATCTAACAGAGATGGAGGCGGAAGACAGACAATCAGATCTGACACAGACAGAGGCGGGAAAGCAGAAGATCAGATCTAACAGAGATGGAAGCTGGAGACAGACAATCAGATCTGACATAGACAGAGGCGGGAAAGCAGAAGATCAGATTTAACAGAGATGGAGGCGGGAGACAGACAATTAGATCAGACACAGACAGAGGCAGGAAAGTAGAAGATCAGACCTGGTGGAGGCGGGAGACTGACAATCATCATGTATGAATAAGTGAAAACATTAGAATAAGTTATGTCCTTATGTTTACGTCATTTGAAGGTGACTCCAAGACACGTTCTTTTAGTAAACAGTAGGGGGGAGTCACTTTAACAAGCGATTGTAGTTTCAAATTGATTTTTTATGCACTTTAATATCTAAGTTTAATTCTAGCGGACTTCTGCCTATCTCAAACACAAAAAATGTTTCTCGCATATATTGTTTCCTGAATTTTGTAATGCATTTCTTGCAGATTTTGCGTTTTTCCGGGGTACCAAGATCTGTCTATGGTGATCGTGAGGCTGGAACATGGCAGAACCAATTTGCTTGAGGTTGACAGATAATATGTAGGAAAATGAAACATAAAAACAGCTGCATTTGTATCATTTTTCAAGGTGAGGCTGACTACATTTTGAACGCCCCTCGAATGGAAATAGTTTTGTACTTGACTAAATGGTATGGCTGTCTTCTGGTAAATAGGTTCCTAGGCAACGGGCACATGCATTTAAAACAGGCGTGTCGACACCACTAGTCCCCGGGAAACATGCTTATATAAGAGGTGAATTAACGGATCGGATGTTAGTGACTTGGATGAGTGTGTGTTGGTTGGTTGGTTTGTTGTTTAACGCCGCACTCAGCAATATTCCAGCTATATGGAGGCGGTGGTCTGTAAATTATCGAGACAATCCACTGATCAATAGCATGAGCATCGATCTACGCATTTGGAATACGATGACATGATAGATAGATAGATAAATATTTTATTAAAGTCTCACCTCTGCACTTAATATGAACATAAAATACAAAAGCATATACAATACACACAAGACGTGAGCCACGATTGGATGCAGGCAAGGTGGTCCACTTTCGCCATACATATGTGCAGAGTGAGTGAGTGACTTTAGGTTTACGCCGCATTAAGCAATATTCCAGCTATATGGCGGCATTCTGTAAATATTCGAGTCTGAACCAGACAATCCAGTAATCAACAGCATGAACATCGTTCTGCGCAATTGGGAACCTATGACATTTGTCAACCCGATCCCGTTAGTCGCCAGACCGCCTACGTGGTGTAGTGGTTAGAGCCTCCGCCCGGAGAGCGGAAGGTCGCGGGTTCGATCCCCGACCGCGTCATACCAAAAGACGTTAAAATATGGTACTTGTAGGACCCTGCCTGGCGCTCGGCATTAATGGGTACAACAAGGACTGGTCGGCTCGGAGTCAGTATAATGTGTCTGAGTGGGGTATTCATGCTTCACTGCGGCATGGTATCTCAGTGGGCTAGCACTATAAAACCAGCTTAAGTCTGGGCTAGTACAAGCAGCCGCACATACACATACACACGCATGCACGTCGTCATATGAGCGAAATATTCTCAAGCACGACGTTAAACCCAATTTCACCTCACCTCACCTCACCTCACCTCACCTCACCTCACCTCACCTCACCTCACCGTTAGTCGCCTACAGCATGGCTTGGATGTCTTGTATCTCAATTGCGTACATCATGCTCATGATATCAATAACAGTAAAAGTGCGAGAGTTAACTGAAGAGAACTATGTTCGTATTTGGCTGACACGGTTGGTAATGGGATCATTGTTTATAATTACAATCACCGGTTGGTATGACCCAGGATAGAATATTTACAGGATGCAATCATATAGCTGTGATACTGCTGTTGGTAGCGTCAAAGACAATACATTAATGGGTACCCGGTGGAAAAAAGTCATATGACTATAACCTTCTAGCGCCTAACAGGCAGCTTGGGTTATCCGGGGTAATAATGGCCTTGATTGTTAGCGCTATGAGCATACCTAGTGTGGAGTTTGGCGCTATATAAATGGACACATTATTATTATTATTATTAAGCATACTCCATCATAGCAGTGTTATTTAAAAAATTCAGGGTTTTACGCGACGCGCAAATGTGCGTCCAATACGCTCAAATGAAGAGAATGGACGCACAATATTATTCTCTGTAACCACAAATAGGACTTTGCTAAGGTTTTGGCTTCTTTCAGATCAGTTCATTTCATCCGTCATTTCATCCATCAGTCCACATGTTCATTGATTCATTCCAGGCTCTAAAATACAGTCAAATTCCGATGAGTCGAATCGCTGGGGACCAAGTAATAAATTCGACTTATCGATGTATTCGAGACATAGGTATGTCTATGAGGGTAGAAAAAAAGATGATCCAGTCCTAATTCCTCCGCCTAAGCATTTGTTTATCTAATGATTCCCCTATCACTAATAGGGGCACCTTATCAGTTCCAGTCTGATTAGCACAGAGAGTGATTTCCGTAAAGTCGCTAATCTGCCTTGTGAACTCACCCGTCAAAGGCGGAAAGGTGTGGGCCGCGCTGGTTTGTTAATTGGATCAGTTTGCTACACCAATCAACTTCTCATTGACTGACTTCGGGTTATGTATACAAGATTGCTGTTGTTTGAATCTCATGGGAACAAATTTTCTTCTCGAGTCATCGTGTGTATTTATGAGACGAATTCGTGTAACCGGAAATCAAATGATGACAACTATAACAGGGAATGGTCGTGACCGACAGGTACTTCGAGTTATGCATAATATTCGAGACACCGAACATACAGTTCTCTACACTGTTACGTCACTGGATCCCCGTATGATCCTAATAGCTAAAAACTTAGGGCCCGGGACCATGTTTGTGAGTCGAGGTAAAACCCTGTTTAAATATAAGTCAAAATGATTCATATATCAACTCACCTGATGTATAATAGATATATTGAAGAATAAAACTACGACGATTGTCAGAAGACCTTCAACGCTGATGAACCCTAATATCACCTTGTGAAAGGATCCGCCCGCAGCAGGTGTGAACTCATAACCACAGATCTTATTGGACTCGTAGATCCTGTAGGGTGAATCCAGGTGGAAAAACGGAAATATCAGGTGCAGGGTCATCCATATCAGAGTTCCAACAAGGGCGAATTTAATCGACTTCGCCGTGACCTTTGACCTGTGGTAAAGAGGCTTGACCAGAGCTAAATACCTGCATGACGTCATAACGGTGATGACACCGGCTGACCACATCACCATGGTCGTCGTCAGCCAACCCATGAGACCACATAAGAACGGCTTTTTAAGGATTAATCCACAAGACAGCCATCCCATTAGGAACGTCAGTAGGTACAGGCAGGTGGAGAGGAGGTCGTTGACGACGAGGCTGGTGACGAGAAGCCTGTCGAGGGAGTCCGCAGATCCCTTTATCTTCAGAAGAACGACTAAGGCGATGACATTGAAGATGAACGTCGGGATCAGAATTAGCGGAAGTTCAGCTTCTGAAAGGTCAAGGCCACAGTCTTCTGACATGGTCGTACTTGCCGAGGAGGTGTTGGTCGTTGTGGCTGACGCTGCCATGATCGTTTCGTTTCAAGTTTGGTTCTTGCACATAAAATGGAAGCATTTAAACCGATTTTTCTATAAATCCTCCGAAACTGTTGAATCTGAAAGAATACAGAGGACACAGAAATCAGGCTAAAACAGGCCACGTAGAGGATCAAATAGACTAATGCTTAATCTCTGAATATATATAATTTTGTTAGTAACAAACAAGCCCATTTAAATTGAAAAGGAGCCCCAGGAGAACCTGAGGAAATCTAGACTTGCTTTATTTAGGGCTTTAGCACTGCAGATAGTGCTTGGCAGTAGGGAAAATAATGTGGTTCAGGGACTGTGAGACAGACTTAGGATCAACCTCCATTTGAACAGCTAACCCAAGGACAGCGGTAAACGATTTAACACTACGATATTACGTCTCTACGACAAGTAAACAGCTTCCGTCATTATACGATATTAATACGTTATTATTTCTTGTAAAGTTTCTTGATGAGCGATATGAACCACTGTCCCTGCCTCTATCATAGCAATTATAATTACATTTAACGCAGTCACGTTGTCTTATCCATCAGTTTCATTGTCTTTGTGGACAATCAGCTTGGTTAGATCACCTCAACAGCAGAATCCCATCAGGATAGTATTCCTGTTATAATTGTATCGTAATGCATTATATACTCATGCCAATAATGGTTGTCACCCCCTTCAATTTTTTTAATTGAGAGGGGGTGGGTGAGGTGTGTGTGTGTGGGTTGGGGTTGGGGAGGGGGGTGACAACCATTATTGGCATGAGTATATGATGAGAACAGTTCCCTATACCTTACTTTTCAACCCTTATTAGGGTGGTTTGGGAGGGTGTATTAGTGTTCGTAATTTAAAGTAATTTAAACGTGACGTAAACATGGATTACGGTAAAGTCCTACGACCAATCTCATCTCTCATCACACACACAGACCCGGGCGCTCCCGGTGGATTCAGAGTCAGGGCTAATGGAATCAGATCGACTTTCAAGCGTTTTGTGTTTGCACGCTCTCGATGGAGGTATGTTGGCAATTCATGATGAACAGCATTTTTCACGAATCCGAACAAATAAAAACACATCAGCTATGATCAAGGGACATGCAAGCGATGTGTACAGCTTAATGACTTGAAAACGGACAAACTGAATAGATTTAATGGTTTTGTTTACATACATAGTACGGGCGGTGGGGTAGCTTAATGGTTAAAGTGTTCGCTCGTCACACCAAAGACCTGGATTCGATTCATCCACATGGGTACAGATCATTTCTGGTGTACCCCTCTATCATATTGCTGTAATATTGCTAAAAGCCGTGTAAAAGTAAACTCACTAAACTAAACATAAATAGCAATGCCTAGCCCAGATTCCAATAGTTATATATGGGGAGGGAGGGAGGGAGTTGGGTTTTACGCCGCTTTTAGCAATATTCCAGCAATATCACGGCGGGGGACACCAGAAAATGGGCTTCACACATTGTGCCCATGTGGGGAATCGAACAAGGATCTTCGGCGTGACGAGCGAACGTTTCAACCACTAGGCTAACCCACCGCCCCAGTTATTTATATATGGAATCCCGGAAGGGGCGTTGTCGCAATTGCACGTTATCGCCATTACAACAATATGCAAGAACTGGCAAAATGAAGCAAACGCGACAGAATATTGCTTTATATTAACCTACCTGAACTCATTAACAAACAAGCCTCGTATATATCCACCTTTTAAGGCCATACAACGCATCACTAAGAACCATAACCAGGTTATTATGATCAACTGAAACATTAATTCGATGTAACCTTCGGTCTCTCTCGCGTCCTAATGTTTGTATGTTTGTATGTTTGTATGTTTGTTTGTTTGTTTGTTTGTTTGTTTGTTTGTTTGTTTGTTTGTTTGTTTGTTTGTATGTTTGTTTGTTTGTTTGTTTGTTTGTTTGTTTGTTTGTTTGTTTGTTTGTTTGTTTGTTTGTATGTTTGTATGTTTGTTTGTATGTTTGTTTGTATGTTTGTTTGTATGTTTGTTTGTTTGTTTGTATGTTTGTTTGTTTGTTTGTTTGTTTGTTTGTTTGTATGTTTGTATGTTTGTTTGTTTGTTTGTTTTTTTAACGCCGCACTTAGCAATATTCCAGCTATGTATTTCGGTAGTCTGTACGTAATCGAGTCTGGACCGATGCCATGTGTCAACCAAGTCAGCGGACCTGACCAGCCAATCCTGTTAGTCCCCTCTTACGACAAGCCTGGGTTACTGAAGATCAATATTCTAACCCTGATCTTCACGGGCTACTACCTGTTGTGACCACCGTTTGCTGCAAGACGATCTGTGGCGATGTTACGATTGACAGCATTTAGTCTCGGCATTTTCCAGATCCCAGCAAGTTGACAAACGTATATTGTTTTAATTGTTGACTGATTTTTGACCTTACATAGTCATTGTCAGTGCTCTTGATTATTATGTTTTGTATATTGTATATACCAGCTAACTGGTATATGTCACTAACATCGTCCAATCAAAAATATCGCATGCTGGAATGTTTTCAGGAATATTGTCAATGTTTCATGTGCGTTTCTTTCTTTGACTGACTGACTGACTGAGTTTGGTTTTACGCCGCCTTTAGCAATATTCCAGCAACATCACGGCGGGGGACACCAGAAATGGGCTTCACACATTGTACCCTTGTGGGGATTCGAACCCGGGTCTTCGGCGTGACGAGCCAATGCTTTAACCACTAGGCTACCCCACCGCCCTTTCTTTCTTTGAAGAGTATATTGGGATATATGACCATAGCGTCCGTTATAGTGTGTGCGCTCACGCCACACGGTTAAACAGTAGAATCGCATTGCAGAGAGAGAGAGCACTTAAGGTTTAAAGTTACTGATTTTAGCAATATTTAACAAATGTCACACCGGGGGCACCAGAAATGGGCTCAAACATTTCTAGCCATTGGGTTAATGGCACCGGCCCTTTGACGTCACTATCGGACGTTTTAACCAGTAAGCTACCCCTAGTGATCACACTTGTGAATAAGAAGTTTTGAAGTGGGTTTTTTTTCAAGTTAAGAATAATGACCGATGGTACATTTGTGAGTAGGGGAGACGTGAGCTCTATTACTAGAGGTCTTCAACTAGGACATCTTATCAGTAATCAGCCAGTGCGGTGCTCGCCCAATCTTAAATAAACAAGAAATGTATATTAAGCTCCAGTGTTTTGGACCGGGAAATCTAGCGGCCGTACTAGTATCATGGGATTGGTTGGTGTGGTAACACAGTTGGGATGATTACAAAATATTTTAACTGAAGAACAACTCTTAGGATCTTCGGACACTGAAACATCTCTCAAAAATGCTCATATCGTTAGGACCGTTGTTACCGTAATATGCGTTAAGCTAAGGTGAGTGAGTGAGTGAGTGAGGAGTGTGAGTGAGTGAGTGAGTGAGTGAGTGAGTGAGTGAGTGAGTGAGTGAGTGAGTGAGTGAGTGAGTGAGTGAGTCGTGAAGTGAGTGTGAGTGAGTGAGTGAGTGAGTGAGTGCGTGAGTGAGTGAGTGAGTGAGTGTAGTGAGTGAGTGAGTGAGTGAGTGAGTGAGTGAGTGAGTGAGTGAGTGAGTGAGTGAGTGAGTGAGTGAGTGAGTGAGTGAGTGAGTCATGAGTGAGTGAGTGAGTGAGGAAACATGTAAATTTACTTAGGTGGGGAATCACATGTAAATTTTCAAATTTGCAAATGTTTACACACTTTAGATGTGTATGAGCTCATCAAAACCGTACTTAAATGGCAGTTTAAGACCGCAAATTAAAGTGACCGATTCACCGCGTATGAATACAACGAACTCGTTGACCCTATTGTTTGTAAACAAACTTGTCGGACATTGGCAATTTCTATCTCGGCAGCATCTTTGGTGTTTTTGAAGTAAAAAGCGAATGGTTTGAAGAAGAATTTCTTGATCAATCCCAGTGAAGAAACTACGAAGCTAGAAAATCAGCAGCGCAAAAGCGGCAGTATATTTAAACCGTGTCCAGATCTACGTGTGTTGACGTCGACAACACACGTCGGCCCACACGTCCTAACCTGACCGCTTCCGTCCCGGCCGTCATACCCAGTCCTTCCACTTCCACTGCCCATGTATCCCACATAAATCGTGGCATGTCAGGTCTTTTCCAAATTGGGAATAGTAAGGTGGTTATCAACAATTATTTCCGTGAATAAAGTTGGCGGCGACTAAATTTAGCGAGTTCACGGCTTGAATTTGGGCGAGTCGATCATCATACAGTAGGGGAGATCAATTATTCGCTTGAGAAAAATCAAATAATTGTACTTGCTCACATTATAAACTATTTTCATTTATGTATGCTATTTGTTACAAATACAAGCATACTAGTTCCTGAAATAAAGCATTTATGTTGTTGAAAATGTCTTATTTTGTTCATTTCACAACCTGTCCCTCAACGGGACGATTCCAAGCGATTTCCAGGAAAAAGGCCCCTTCACGATTTGTGTTCTTGCGCACCAAACAGTTCGGTTTTAGAACGCTTATCAGTCGTGCTAGAATGAAGATAAAGCTACTCTGTTTTCAATTTTGCGGTCCTTTATCGTTGATTTAAGACCGCTAAATGTTTAATTTAGCGGTCTTAAATCAACGATAAAGGACCGCAAAATTGAAAACAGAGTAGCTTTATCTTCTAAGGAAAACTCACTGCAGGGTTAGGGTTACAGAGTAAACAATACCAAACACCCATGGCTAGTCTGTCTCACAGTCCCTGAACCACATTATATTCCCTACTGCCAAGCCCTCTCTGCAGTGCTCAAGCCCTAAATAAAGCAAGTCTAGATTTCCTCAGGGGGGAATCTCTGGTCTCCCTGGGGCTCCTTTTCAATTTAAATGGGCTTGTTTGTTACTATCAACATTATATATATATTCAGAGACTAAGCATTAGTCTAACCCATGGCTGGCGGGACCTACATCTCCAGTAACATTTACATCTGCCAACGCTTAATTCGCAAGTGGTGAGGCAATAAGCTAATGAGGCTAAGGGTCCTGTACCATGTTTGTGACATATCTAAGATGCCTTATACGAAGCATTTTTTATAATCTAAGCAAGCCTAGCTAAGTTAGGCGTTAAGTCGTTGCTTGAAGAAAGGCTCCTTTAGAATTATATTTGGTAAATATTAGTATTTCACTGACTCAATCATATTGGAAAACACATGGCAACCTATACTTCATTGTGACTATGATTAAGGCATCATTGTAACTCCGGCCAAAGGTGATGTTATGCTGTCTGGAAATATGGCATTTATGTAATGCTTTGGTTGCACTTAATGATAAGTGATTGTTAAATGTACATATGATGTTTTTGAAGGATAATCTCAGCTGACTCAGATACTTCGCATGTGTTTTCCCCCACTCTTTCCATACCCGTAAAAATTAATGTTCTATATACATGTTCTATATATGTCTGTAAGAAAATACTGTAAAGAAATACTGTAGCCCCAATATAGATGTTGTTAGTCTGTGAATCTTCCAAATTACTTGGTCTTTTTTCCATTGAAATTAAGTTTTTTGCCTTATCAAAATAATATATTTTCAAGACACTAAGCGTCAATCTTAATGTGCCTATGTCGGGAATCAAACACCGGCTTTTGACCTGACAAGCGAACGCTTTAACCACGAGCGTACCCCATCATTCCTTGATACTGTTAAAGAATATACATTGGTACATTTATTATACATTCAAGATTGAACCCAGTTTTGTCACTATATATCTTTCAGTTTTTATGTGACTGACATGATTTGCAGCCCACCATTGATAATTCAAAACAGGTGAAACAATATAAATAATGACTTTGAGGTTTTGTTTTGCAATCGTTAGTAATTTAGTTTTCCATTTAATTAACAATTTTCAGTTTCTATTTCCTGAAATTCTGTACGAAATTTTCAGTTTCTATTACTGGAAATACACTTAACAGTTCCACCCAATAACAGTAAAGCATACAGATAATACGTTTCGGTACTTTGATAGATTAATAAGTACAAATTATATTCCATCATATTGGGATGCAAAAATGATTAACATAATTGTATAATGTATGACAAATCAGACAGCAAAATGCAAAAGCAAAAATGAAAACGCATGAGCAACATAAATGCTGTCAGGTAGTAAGCTTTCAATAATTATGGAAACTGCTTAGTTATCTAAGTTTATGAACTAATTGCAATCACTAGAATTTTCTATAATCTATCCAAGAGATGGAATCAAAATAGGTGTACAGTATATTCCGTCGGGTGACTGAAATTTGAGAAAACGTCCGTATGGGATAATATCTGTATTCCGAATCAAAAAGAGGTCATACCAAGTATGTGCATGTTTACATATATTTACAACAGTAATTTACACCGGGAATCATTAATACATTGTAATCATCTTTTATGAAAGTATAGATAATGAAATTTGTTCAGTTATGATCAGTCGGATAACTCATACAACTGGGCATAAAATTAGGAACCTAAAATTAGGCATATATAAGAAGTGTACCTAAGGTCAGTTATTTAAACTGTAATGTATTTTCCATTACAACAAGTATAAACGATATTACCTACTGATCAGAATGACTTATCAGTACCTCAACACCGACCCACCGCCACCACCCCACCCTAAGCCTACCCCATCGCACACCCTCTCCCTCTCACACACATGCACACACACTCCCTAACATACATATCGCTCTGGCTCATAGACACGATATTTGAACCTTTCAAACAGGCTTAATGTGTATGTTATCACTTCACCATGTGTTTCTAATTATCAGAGTACATTATGGCGTGGCCGGACGCGCTAACGAACCCTATGTGACAGTTATATTACAGAACCATTGAAATAAATGTTAAAGTAGGTTCAGTCTTGTTACCCATTACCAACTATTTACGCATGTACTAAATATATGACACACCTAACCCTGGTCATACGAGATTTCAAAGGTATTGAAATGCATGTCCTACAATCACAGCATTTACATGTTACACATGCAAGAAAATACATGAAAACAATGGCCAAATTAACACACCGGTGAAATACATGTAAATGCAGAGTTGAGTGTTCGTTTATTTTAACACCCTTTTAAACGTGTGTAAATCAGACGGCTAGATGATACGTAGATTTCAAACGTTGTTCATATGGCCGCCGGATGACAAGTATATTTACTAACGTTAGAAAATTTGGGTGATACAGTCATTTCGTGTGGGGTTGAGTGAATAATTAAAAGACATAGTTAGAAACGACATCTCCTTTAGCTTGCAGCATCAGCAGCATCAATAGCCAACACATTAACCCTGAGAGTGAGGTTTATATAACACCCTAGTAAGAATGAAATATACACTTATGAATATTACACTTACGTACATATGGCAAACGCAGAAAACGTGGTACTTTTTGATCCGTTAATACATTTTTCACCTGTTTTACCTTTAATGCAAATTCCGTCTCGGAGGGTAAGCGATACAGGTTATTCAATGATTTTAACATATTAAGTTTTCACAAAAAATAGTAACTCTTACCTTTCAACATCAAACGAGGTTGATGAGGATAACCTTCCACACCCTCACTCCACACCCTCACTCCACACCCTAAACACTCCCTGTTTACAAGGAGTCAGTGCGAGCTCCATTCATCCACCCAAACAGCTTCATCAGTCGTCAGTGGCTATATTTCCTGTGAATGATATAAGGGACGCCAGTTAATCACCAGCCTATAGTACAGTATCGATTTGTGTCCCGGCTCGCTGGTGGAAACAATGACCCTTTCTCTCATTGGCGCTACAAGTTCACATCAAATAATGAATAGTGTTGTTGGTGTTAACTAGTTACATGTATGTGCATACACTCCTGAAATTCCATTCTAAGAGGGCCGGTTTATGTTCGATACTGACAGTCCGGGCGAGGGCTGAATGACCTATTTACAGCACAGAACAGACTTATATACATGAACAGGGATTAAGTAATAACAACATGTAGGACTGAATGAGGGGGATTGACAATAACAACAAGGCACGGTGGCAATAATGTAGTGACAATAGGAAGCCAATGGTGGTGGAGGTAAAAAACAAAATATACATGCTGATGAGATTACTAGTAATTAACAATGATGGCTGAGGTGCTCTAATCTGTTGTTTTTATGAGATCATTGTATGCAGAAGGGATGAGATATCCCTGGTCTCTGTTGATTGAGGGCTTGTGTCTCCGGATTTGAACTGCTTCTGCAAGTTTCCTTTTGGTGAAGTCCTGGTGGTTTTTGGATAATATCTCATCCCTTCTGCATACAATGATCTCATAAAAACAACAGATTAGAGCACCTCAGCCATCATTGTTAATTAATCTCATCAGCATGTATATTTTGTTTTTTACCTCCACCACCATTGGCTTCCTATTGTCACTACATTATTGCCACCGTGCCTTGTTGTTATTGTTAATCCCCCTCATTCAGTCCTACATGTTGTTATTACTTAATCCCTGTTCATGTATATAAGTCTGTTCTGTGCTGTAGTACTTCACTCTTGCTTGACAACGGTATAAGAATCCATACCGAAACGTCGCATCATATATAATAAAGAAGTTGTTATCCATAAACTTTCTTACTTTCTTATTAGTCACCAACTTCTAAATGCCAATCAAACAGATCATAAACAGATGAATGACCTATTGTATGGATTGTTACTACCTAAACTGTATTGTATTGTAGGTATCTATATGCTTAGTGGTTCAACGCTGTTCGTGATGATTGTCTCTCAGATGATCACTCGTTGAGTCCTGGGCCCCTTTCCTCAAAGCGATCGTAGCGCTACGACAGTCGTAACTCCCATACTTTAACATAGACTTACGACTGTGGTAGCGCTAAGATGATCGTAACTCCCATACTTTAACATAGACTTACGCTTGTCATAGCGCTAAGATGATCGTAACTCCCGTACTTTAACATAGACTTACGCTTGTCATAGCGCTAAGATGATCGTAACTCCCATACTTTAACATAGACTTACGCCTGCCGTAGCGCTAAGATGATCGTAACTCCCATACTTTAACATAGACTTACGACTGTGGTAGCGCTAAGATGATCGTAACTCAAATACTTTAACATAGACTTACGACTGTGGTAGTGCTAAGATGATCGTAACTCCCATACTTTAACATAGACTTACGACTGTGGTAGCGCTAAGATGATCGTAACTCCCATACTTTAACATAGACTTACGACTGTGGTAGCGCTACGATCTCTTTGAGGAACGGGGCCCTGGGCCCTTATTCTCGAAACGTTCGTAGCCTTAAAACTTCTTAACTTTGATCGTAGCCAATGTGTTAAGAATGGGCTTAAGAAGTTCGTAAGGCTACGAACGTTTCGGGAAAAGCTAGCCTGGCTGTTACTTTTAGGAAAAGCAAGATTTATGGATGTCAACCACATTGTGAATAACACGACGTTTCGGAGTTTATGCTTGCTCCTTCATCAGGTAAATGAGAATTCCAGCAATCATCGCATGTTCAACGGTTCCCTGCCATTGATAAGATCCTTCCTTCACCATGCCAGCTCCAGAATAGTTGACACCCGTAAATCTTGCTTTTCTTATGCATTCCACTATAAATGCCCTTTGTCACTTGTAGTTCTTATCATACGTATTGGTTAATTTATGCATAACTTTTCAGTGTCAAATTTTATCATTTATGAATAATGTCAAATATTTATAAAAAGACGTTAAAATATGGTACTTGTTGGTCCCTGCCTGGCGCTCGGCATTAATGGGTACAACAAGGACTGGTCGGCTCGGAGTCAGTATAATGTGTCTGAGTGGGGTATTCATGCTTCACTGCGGCATGGTATCTCAGTGGGCTAGCACTATAAAACCAGCTTAAGTCTGGGCTAGTACAAGCAGTCGCACATACACACATACACACGCATGCACGTCGTCATATGAGCGAAATATTCTCAAGCACGACGTTAAACCCAATTTCACCTCACCTCAAATATTTATATATGAATGTTTATGCATTAATGAAGAGCCTAAAATTCTTCATTTATAGTGAGTGAGTGAGTTTAGATTTACGCCGCGTTTAGCAATATTCCAGAATTATCACGGCGGGGGACACCAGAAATGGGCTTCACACAGTGTGCCCATGTGGGGAATCGAAACCGGGTCCTCGGCGTGACGAGCGAACGCTTTAACCACCAGGATACGCCACCACCTTCTTCATATATAAGAAATTCGGAGTCTTGGTATATGCACCAATGGATCTTTTATGACTTTATAGATTCATAGATTACAATCTTGGTATATTACTATAGGACTTTTTCCGATATATCGTTAATATATCTGATTATTCATTTCTTGGTACATCCATGTTACATCTTCTCTGATTTATCGTTTATAGATCGTTAAATGGGTTTGAAGTACGTGTATGCTCCTTTGAAGATCCGGGTCTTTAGTAAACCATGTTTGTCGTAAGAGACGACAAACAGGATCGGGTAGTCAGGCACACTGACTTGGTTGACACATGTCATCTTATTCCAGTTGCGCCGATTGATGCTCATTATGTCAATCCCAGGGTTGTCTGGATTTCTGAGTATGACATTACACAACAAACAAAGCTAAACCTCCAGACTGATATCGATACATGAAGACTGACATCTTCGTATATGTCACCCAGTACGGGTCTGTGTCTATTCGCTATTACGTGAATCTCATTAAACGCCATGTAAGTGGCCATCTCATAAAGTGTGGCCCTGGTAGTGTTGATTATCACTACCGCATTGTTGCCACGGTATTATTGGCGCTGAGCCAGGACTCTCATCTGGTTGCTGATGGTGACTGATGGATACATGCTACAGGACAAGCTGCACCATGGAACAGATATTTCAGTATAACTCTTAGAAGTACATACGCTCCCTTGGCTGCGTGGAAGGGGGCGAGAGAGAGAGAGAGGATCTGAGCTGGTGTCAGGCTAACCTGAACCCTGTATTTTTATCTTATTCTGTGAAAACTAATTATAAAGGATTTGTATAGAGTCTAGAATTGCCACATACGGTGCTCCACGGCGCTGATTATTATTACCCCGGATAACCCAAGCTGCTTGTTTGGCGCTAAAAGGTTAATAGTCACATGACTTATCCCACCGGGTACCCATTTCTGCTTGGTGAACAGGGGCAATTTTTGAACAAACTCACTTGCCTAAGGTGAGACCACATGTATCATCATATGTGCTTCGTTGTGGGGCAGGAGTGAACATTCAGGAGTCAAGCTGCCAAACACGGTCACCCATCCAAAGACTCTCCGCGCCAAACGTTGCCTGACTTCAACTGATTTGTGACCTGAGCTCTTCACACAAGACCACACACCACCATATACAGTGGTATAATTGCCATATAGAGTGGTATATTTGCCATATAGAGTGGTATAATTTCCATATACACTGGTATATTTGCCATATACACTGGTATAATTGCCATATACAGTGGTACATTTGCAATATACAGTGGTATATTTGCAATATACAGTGGTATATTTGCAGTTCAGAGTTGTACTCCCAGATTGTACCTAAACCAAAACAAACGTAGCCAGCTTGTTAGCATGAGATCAAATTTATGCAGAATTCAACACGGTGACCTCATTTGGGGAACATAAACTGGGACATCGAACAGATGAAAGTAATGCAGTATCTTGCTTTTACCTATGGTTACGGGGATTAAGCGAATGAGAAGGTTGCGTAATTGCGCTAATGTGGAATAGTGAGTGAGTTTAGTTTTACGCAGCTTCGAGCAATATTCCAACAATATCAAGGCGGGGGATACAAGAAATGGGCTTCACACACTGTACACAATGGGGGGAATAGAACCCGGGTCTTCGGCGTGACGAACGAACGCTTTAACCACTAGGCTACCCCACCGCCCCTTATGTGGAATGGTGAGGAATGTTGCTGTACTGGGCGTTTGGCGAATGGTAAAGAACATTGACTCAGTGGGGCGTTTCTTGTGTTGATCTTTTTTCGTACTGGTGTAGAAGTTGGCCAAACGGGAAAGGTGCTGAATAAAACGTCTGATGAATGGTAGAGGAGAGTGAAAGGTAATGGGGGCATGATACACTGGGGAGATGGCTAAATGTAGCGTATGATGATAGATGGAGACTGAATGGTAAAGGGCCATTACTTCCATAACAAGTTTCTGAATGAACTTTTGAATGATACACATGATAAAAATGGGTTCTCTTATAATGAAAATACCCCTCCCAATGAAATTTGCTGAAGAGAGGTATGCATAATTTGAAAGTTATCTAGTGGGATGGTCACGTCAAAAGACTGCTACTAAAAGTCTGGTATAGAGAAATGTGATGTGATAACATAGCATCAGAATGTGAAGGTAACTAAATAGTGCACATATCTATCTAGTGATTAATTGTGGACACGGTTGCAATGCTCCTAAATGCGCTGGAATTAGCTATGCAGAGTTGCCTCACTTGGAAATGCCAGCATCCTATGATTGTGGGTTCGAATCTCGGTGTACTGTGATTATATTTCTGTAAAGGTTTAAACGCGGAAGACCTTCTTCACTCTCTACTTACCTCGCCCATAAAGATCCGGGTTAGGAATTGGTCTTCAGAAACCCATGCTTGTCGTAG